TCGGCTCATTCCAATATTTTCGCTCATATGCACGCATGAACTGTTTTGTCAAATCTCCTCACGGTATCTACGCGGAGAATTATTTATCAAATGTTGGAGGAGCATGATTTGTCGATCAAATACAATGCTGCTCTACGAGCAACACGCCATGCTTTTGAAACTGTTTATGGGGGTCATGAAAAATCATGGGGGGTGGATTCTAGGTTACTTGCACGTATTGCAGGCTCGTAATCCATGTACAATTGTCGAATTGCATGTAGATGGGGAGGTATTCAGACGCTTGCTCTTTGCTCTAAAAGCTAGCATTCAATGTTTTCAACGAGCTAGTGTCCTAGTATTTGTGATAGATGGTACGCATTTGTTGTAGCCACATTTGACGGAATAACCAAATCTTTCTCCTCGCAATCGGCATTGGAGATATAGAGCGTTGTGAGTCTTGGGGTTGGTTTTGACTCATTTGAGAAGGTCCTAGGGTTGTCCCGATAACCTTCTCATCGTACCTGACAGACACGAGTCTATCATCCCATTTGTGTACCCTGAAGCGCATCACGCATTTTGCTACTTCAATATCAAAGAAAATATGCGGACATTTGGGAAAGTTGTCTTGGACCTATTTTAAAAGGCAGAGTATTGTTATCGCCGTAAACAGTTTTATCGCTACATTTCATCCATCTGAAGTAAAAGCCCTAGAGCATTTACATTTCTAATGGATGAAATTTGGAAAAGCCCTAGAGCATTTACATTTCTAATGGATGAGGTAGATGCTTGGGCAAGGTGTTTCACGCTTGTATGGCACTATGGACTCATGACGTCCAATTCCAAGGAAAGTTTGAACAAGAAACTCCATTAGGCTAAAACTTACCCATATGATCAGTGTTGGAATGTGTTCAGACAACGATAGAGAAATGCATTGTTGATCGACGTCCAACTATCCAAGGTCGCAGTCGTCCGCTAAAGGAGTGGACTCAATTGCGGTTGAATCCTTTATTCGAGAAAACTCAATATTTGATCTTATTCACATTTAAGTTATAACTTACCAAATCTCCCAAAATCTCATCCAAGGTAAACTCAAATCAAAATTACAGCCATAAGAACATGGAACTTATTGGAAATACAAAGTACAGCCGGTTACAAAAACATGTTCCAAGTACAAAGACAAAATAAACAACACAATGACAAAAAACCTAAGACATCCATACATTGTTCGATCTAACAAAAATAAAGTTATCTTGTCCCACCATCTGTATTTTACCTCCGAAGCATATTGCAAGTCGGAAAATCAAAATTTGCAGATAAACAGATGGGCGGGTAATATAATCTGACCAACTTTTTTTCCTCTTAATCACCTGGGTAACTTGTTCATGGCCCCATTAAGTTTTTCGTCTGCTATTTGCTTGTGGCTGTCGTAGAAATCCAATATCTCCATTGCAATGTTTTTTACCTGACCCAAAATAGTGAAAAGTTAACTTATGTGTTATGCATCTCACTTATGCTGAAGGTCCAAAAACATGCACATATTCGAGAATGATAAAATTTTATCTAAAAGGAAAAGGATACATCAACTTGGGTTATGTTTAAAAATTACAATTAACCACTTGAAATTCTCTTCTACCGAACATATACATTTTCTCTCTCAATTTGGAGAAGACAAACAGAAGTCAAGAAGATACTTGTATTTTTGAAAGATAACTGAGTCTTTTCATTTCTCAAAACCTTTAGAGGCAATGTTCCTATATATAAATGATGGCCTTTGGTTTTGTTAAAAGTTCAAAATTTTCGTTTTGTGAGTATTGCTTAGAAGGTGAAAAAAAAAAAATTAAAAAAAATAGAGGTATATATCTAACTATGTGTTGGAATTGATTCATTGTGATCAGTGCAGTCCTATGTTTATCTAGATTAGAGGTGCTTTTGAAATTTTCGTCTTATTTGTTGACGATAATTCTAGATATGGATAGATGTCTATTACGCGTCATGCTATAAACTCAAGGAATACAAGCCTGTGTAGAGAATCATCTTGATCAAGATACGATGATCTGATTGTGGTGGCGAGTACCACTTGAGAAATTTTATGAGCTAATAATTATCATAAGTAGGGATTCAATCCCATTTATCATGAATTGGCATCTCATGGAAATAGTTATATTGATAATGAGTTATTCAAGATTACCGGATTGAGTACCACTTGAGAAATTTTATGAGCTAATAATTATCATAAGTAGGGATTCAATCCCATTTATCATGAATTGGCATCTCATGGAAATAATTATATTGATAATGAGTTATTCAAGATTACCGGATTGGTTCTAGACGTATGCTCTCGAAACAACAACCTATATTATAATATTGATGTATTCTAAATAATTTTAATTTTAATTCTAGAGTTGTATTAAGTTTTGATTTGTACTAATATATTTCATGGAGAGAAATACAACGCCAGGAAAGAAAAGTTAAATTTAGGCAATCTCGATTCTAGAATAGAGTAAACTCTACATTAAAGTAGAGTAGAGGATTGAAGATGGTCTTACTTTCCATTTCTCTTTTGTCCACTATCCAGACAAAGTAAAGCAAAAAATAATGCAATAACCATGTCTATGCTAAAAGTTGAGCCAACAAAAGTCCACCTAACATTTAGCTTCCATGTTAAATCATGATACAAATGTCGAACAAACAATCTTTATAATTACATGCAACTGCTCCTTAATACAATCCAAATTGTTCAGAAAAAATTGCATGCATTACCCAGGTATCCAAACAAGAAGGCAAACGAAAGAAGACAATCACAGCTTTCACTCTTGCTGCAGGCTGTTTTTGTTACGTTTGCTTCCCAACAATTGACTGCAAATGAACCCTTGCTTTGGCAGCGGCATAAATAGACACTTCATCTTGCTTTTCTTTGGCAGCTGCCACAGCAGCAATATAAGCTTCTCTCGCTGCTTCCAATTTCTGCGTATCGATCTCATTATTCTGCGCAGAGTGAGGACATGAAATATGATCAGAGCTTAACAAACGATACATGTAGTTAACTTTGAACTTTCAACTCGATCAAGGAACAATTCATTCAAAATGTAATATATGCGGCTGAGAATTTATCCCACCACCGTCAATGCATGCAAGTACACACACGCACACAGAAAAGAAAAGAGAAAAGAAAAAGAACAAAAAAGCAGAAGAAAGAGAAACATCCAGACAGAATAAAGAGAGAAAAAGGAAAAGAAGAAAGGAAGTAGTGAGCCTTTAGTTAAAAGAATAACCAAAGAAGGATTTTAAGTAATAAAATATGCAGTAATACAGATGACATCAGTCACACGTGTAAGATTCTAAATAGAAGTGTCTTAAATTTTGCATTTTGAGGAGATAGAGTTCGATGGACACTTGATAGATGACTTACTAATTCATAATTCTGATCGAAAGGATAAGGGTCATAATCATAATCTCCACCAGAAATGGGAAAATCTTTATTTGTCAAGCCTTGAAGTAGTAGCATGAACGATGAAATTTCCCCTTCCACCCTATGTAGGTCTTCCTGGAGCTTCTTCACTTTCTCTTTGGAAGTCGTTGATTCCCATTGTAATTTTTCGACAGCTGCTCGCTCGTCTGCAAGCTTAATCTGTTAAAATAGTTTGAAAGAATCAATAATGGTGGAATAATCTATGAGAGAGAGAGAGAGAGAGAGAGAGAAGACCATTAAAGAAGCATGACATTAGTTATCACCCAAACCAAAGTTTTGATAAAAACATGGCCATATTCACCTCCATCCATTAAACAGTTCTCAACAAAAGAATTAAATAGTATCCAGACTTGTTCATTTAAAAATCTCAACAACAGATAGACACTGAATCCAATATTTTAACTGCCGCTCATATGTTAGGTTTCTTGGAAGGTTTCAAGGAGTAATACTTATGATTTATCACCCAACAGAGAAGTAGATAATCTCCATGATGCTAAATTGTGCATTTCAGTATAAATTCAGTTCTTTTAAACATCAAAATGTAGAAAGGAAGAGAAAAAGAAAATACGTAATTTTGTTGACATGTTATAACAGGGATGAACATGAATGAAACATGCTTCTCTAGCAGGTTACCGGCAGAGCAAGAAACTTGCTATAGCTAATATAAAATGGTAATTGGTGGACAAGCAGTTTGGATGATGCCAAGAGTACGTGGAAGGTGAAAGGTTAAGCGAAATGTTGCACACCTTCACATCAGAAAGCTGTAGTTGACTGGACTTAATCATCGAGTCCTTTTCTGCAGCCTCATTTCTGACTTCATCGAGCTTCATCTGAATGGCGGCCATTTCTTTTTTTGAGGATTCCAGCGATTTCAGATGCTCTTCTTTTTCTGATAATTGCTTTTTCAGATCCTCCATTTGGTCCCGTAATGTCATAAGCTCTTCTTTCTCCTTTTCGGAGAGCATATTTTTTGTGGATAAATTTGTGAAGTTATCGGCACAGCCATCTTGGATGGAATCACCGTGCATTTTGTTAGCAATGGTGGCACTCCGTCCAGCTGTCTGAAGCAAAATAAAGGATTCACATGATGTTTATACAATTATACGGCAAACATCAGCACCCACTGTAATCCCACCACACAAAAGATGGACACTTCACAAACAGCCATCACTAAGAAGCATTGAAGTTG